CCTGGCACAGAGTGGGGGGAAGCACTGCAGGAATCAATCAGTGAGCTACTATCGTTGAAGAGTAATCAAGATCATTAAGTTAATCTTTAAAGATCTGATTTGAAACTTCCCTTTGTGGTTTTAGCAGTCTTGTGGACATCTACCATGGTTGCAGGACTGCCTCATGGAGATGGACTGCAGGGGCTGAGCCTTTAAAATGGAGAGTGTTCAGCATCTGCCAGAGCTGCAGTCGTGTCACTAGGAATGGCACACGAAAGCGAAGTTGCTGGCTAATCTGGGCTGAGCAGTTTCTGTGTCTTCTGTGATGAGTTGTGTGCTATGTTGCCTGACAACTTGATGCATTGGAGACAAGTAAGCATGGCTTTCTGTTCCCGGTCAATTTTTAAGCAGAGTCACTGTATTTAATTTCAAATGAACAAGCATTACCAGCCTTCACTTTTGAAAATCAGCAGGCGGTGTTTCTTTCCCTTTCAGCTCTTGCATGCCTATGAAAGTAGGTCAAGAGAGGGAACACCAGCATAGTTTCTCTTTCTCTTAGAAAGCTGGTTAGAAACTTTTGTGATTAGCTGAGGACATTCATTACTTTTGCTGCTATTACAGCTTTTGTTTTTGCAGTATTGCGTTCAAAATGTTGATCACATTCCTAGAGGGTAGCAGCCAAATACAGCTATCGCAAAGTAATTGATCACAGGAATTACTGCACTCATAAAGAGAACATATCTTTTATATAAATGTAAATATTATACTACATGAGCTTATACCTCCATGCCTCGCTTGGGCAGAGTCCCTGAGCTGGGAGGTGATCTCTGGGACATTGTCTAATTCATGCCATAGGAAGAGTGGCTGGAAAGCTGTCCAGAAGAAAGGGACCTGGGGGTTCTGATGGATAGGAAGCTGAATATGAGCCAGCAGTGTGCCCAGGTGGCCAAGAAGGCCAATGGCTCCCTGGCCTGTGTTAGTCATAGTGTGGCAAGCAGGACCAGGGAGGTGGTCATCCCTCTGTAGTCAGAACTGGTGAGGCCACACCTCAAATACCATGTCCAGTTTTGGGCAGCTCAATAGGAGAAAGACGTGGAGGTGCTGGAGCATGTCCAAAGCAAAGAAGGGCAACAAAGCTGGTGAAGGGCCTTGAGAACAAATCTTATGAGGAGTGGCTGAGGGAACTGGGGCTATTTAGTGTGAAGAAAAGGAGGCTGAGGGCAGACCTCATCTCCCTCTACAACTACCTGAAGGGTCATTATAAAGAGGAAATAGAAGAAGAGGAAACAGCCTCAATCTGTGCCAGGGGGTGTTTAGACTAGACATTAGGAAGAATGTTTTTTTCACTGAAGGGTGGTCAGGCTATGTCAGAATATGCTGTCCAGGGAGGTGGTTGAGTCACCATCCCTGGATATGTTGACAGGTCTTCTAGATGTGGCTCTTGGGGGATGTAGCTTAGTGCTGGACTTGGTAGAGTAGGGCTAATGGTTGGAGTCGATGATCTTGAAGGTCATTTCCAACCTAAGTTACTCTGTGATTCTGTATACGTAAAATAGGCTAACGCAAGAGTCTGAGAAAACTTTCTGTTTGCCTTTTTGTTTTTCCCTTCTGTCTGAATAATTTCTTTAAGTCTGCCTAATGCATTGTGGTCTGCTGAATATTTTTCCAAGCATGAGTCCCAGGCTCTCTGTCTTCAGTGCTAGCCCTCAGCTGTTGTAGTCTCTGGAGGAATGGCATTATCCTGGCCTCCTTTCGTGGGGAGTCTGTCTGGGTAGTGACTCATACAAGAGGGAATCCCTGAAGAATGATCAAATCAATCTTTCAGCTGGGGAGGCAGTGGCTTGCTGCTTTGCTTTCAGCTTAACCCCTTGCTGGCTGATTTTTAGCCAAGAAGTGTATGAAACAGAGCAAAATATACTTTGCAGCCCTGAGACTATGCATTTCACAGAGGAAATGTGACAGCTGAGGGATGAAGGCTCACTGAAAGGACCATGGGAGGAGCACTGTGATGACTTCCTAAAGAGGAAAACTCCTGGACTGGTCCAGGTCTCAGCAGAAGGCATCCCTTTGCATAAATAATGAGTCTTTTCAGAAGTAGACTGAAATTTGCTCAAGCATTTTACAGCACCATAAAAAAGATCTCGTGTCAAAATGATTCCTTATTTTACAGGATTTTGGTCAGTGTTTTCTTGCTTGCACATCAGACCATTTTTTCCAGTCATGAATGATGGTATAAAACAACCATCCAAGAAGCCTAGTAGTAGTAAAAATGTGAATGCTGAATGTGCTCTGAGCAGCCTGATCTAGCGGGAGGTGTCCCTGCCCATGCAGGTGGGTTGGAACTAGATGATCTTTAAGGTCCCTTCCAACCCAAACCATTCTATGATTCTGTGATTCTGTTTCCCCTTCTGTCTCTTAGTAGTCATTCTTTTATCTTCCTGGATTTCAAAAGGGTCTTGTGCGTCTGTGTGTCATGTTTATTGTGTGCTAGGTTTAGAATGTCCAATACCAATCTATTTTTCATCCAAATTAATACTTTTTGAAATATCAAAAATTGTGCAGCTTCTTGCTGCTGTCTGCACGCTGATATTTGCTGTGGAGGCAAGATGTACATTTTAATTACAAAAGTAGATGAAATGAAGTTGATGTTCGTTAGCTATGGGAGTAGGTGTTTGTCTAGGAGGGACTAAGTATTTCCTGTCTACCACATGGATCTGCAAGACATAGATCATGGTTTGAAATTATAATAAAAGACACTGATTTATTTACTTATCTTTAAAAAACTTTTTATTCCATTTCTAGATTATAAATGTATGAGGCCAC